ACATATTACCTACAAAAAACACCTTCTGCAACCATAAACCCAAGTTCTTTACTCCCAAGCAGCAAACAAAAAAAAAAAAAAAAAAAAAAAAAAACTCATTCCTGAAGCTTCACTTGATCCTTTCTTCTTGGCTGATTTCCGAGGTGGATGTGCCTTATGAAATTGGCTATGGTGGGAATGTCTCATAACAGTCTTCCCTTGCAAACCTCGCTACAAAAATGAACAGTAATTATCGTAAATAAATTATCAACATAATTCGCATCAAAATTGAATGTTAACCTTAAACTCACATGTTCAATTTTGGTGAATTAATGTATTCACCAAATCTATGCTTATTCTTTCTTCCTAGTCAATCAGATTGACCAGACTGCATAATACAAAAACAACAACAAAAATAGCCACATAAAATTAACAATAAAGCAATAAAGCACTATCAATAGGAAATCATAGATCCTAAGTAATTACCAGTCAATAAACTTACATTTTCATCAACAAAATATCTAGCAACACATGTTGTCCTGGTGTGACCAGGCTGTTTACAATATTCGCAAGTTGGAGGTTTTCTTGGTATTGGTTGGTGAGTGCTTGCTGATGCTCCCTGTTAAGTATGAAAAAAAATGTCATTACAATATAATTTGTTGATAATAAAGCAAGTGTAAGTAATTAACTTACTTCACTTTCGGTTAGCATTTTGGGGCATCCTTCTTGTTGTGTCCAGGCTGCTTACAAAGTGAGCATTTGATTTGTCCACCTTCCTTTGTCATCTTTTCTAGCTCTCCCACCTTCACCCTTCTGGTTTCATTATCACTCTTCCTCTTATACACCTTAGGCCTACCCGGCTTGGATCTAAATGGTAGTGGTTCTAGTGGTTCCCTTTGATAATTTTCCTAGAATTTCTTACCATTACAAGGCATGATTGGTACATTGTATGCACGTTCATACTTAACCCTTTTGTACCAAATTCATACAAATTCATCCTGGTCGAAGTTACCTAAACCCATTGCAAACAATGCATGAAGACATGAAATGCCTATTAAATCCCATGCTCTACAACTACACTGTTTCCCAACCAAGTCCACAACAAATTTGTCATTCCAATGCCAAACATCATAATGGGTCCAGCCATTCCATTCACATCAGCATTTGCTTGCTTCAATCTTATGTGCTTCTAATTTCTTCCTAATTCTGGGTGCTATATCTCCTCTCCATTGCTGACTTCTTCTCTATTCTTGGCCATCCTAACCATCACCTTAACCCTTATAAATTCTAATAGTTGGATGATTTGCATATTCCTGGCATTTATTATCCAATTGTTAAAGGTCTCATTCATGTTATTACTCACCACATCACATTTGCACAATATGTCAAAGAAGGCCTTGCACCACAGCTCCAATGGGATTGATTTTAAGGCATCATGACCTTCCATAGTTAAATTTATGATCTTCTCCATGTTTTTGTTGAATTGACCTTTATATGTTGACCTTGCAACAATCCAAAATCTTCTCTTCAATAGTTTTCCTCTAAAAATTTTTTGCCAATTGGCATATACATGCCTGGCACACAATCTATGCCTGGCCTAAGGAAAAACTATTTGTCTTGCATTAATCAACCCCTATCAAATTGCGTTTAAAGAAAACAAATAAGGTTAGTAACTGATAATAAAGTCAATTGAATTATACAAAAATAGGACAATGATTGGTGCACACCC